ATACAGCAGTCATCAGCAGTATGTTGGTAGCTAATATGGACAAGAGACACGTACATGCAGGCTACAGACGTCAGCTGACATACAACTCAAACATGCTTACCCTCCTTCAGTGTGTGAACCAAAAGAGCAGCGCATCATTTAAGGCTTCAACTACTTTGCGCTCTTGAACATCATCACTGGTGGGGTGCCCTGGAATAGTGAGGCTCGAGCTTGAGCGACTGTCCAAAAATGCCAGTTCAAAAAAGAGCAGGCGTGCTCCGAGCTTGGATATCCCTGAGCCGCAAGAGCCGGAGAAGGATGAGGAGTCAGTCAACCCAAGTCCATTTCTATGTCCATTTCTACCGCCTTTGGTGGCCTTTGGAAGGGTCCTTTGGCCTCAGACATGAGGGAGCATCAAATACAAGAAGTGGGAGAGAGAGCTTTCCAAACCAGAATTGGTGTAAGATTATAAGGAAACTCGCTTGTCTAATCTTGGCATCAAGACTTCGTTGAGGGACTCAAGATTTCTTGGAACGAACCCCACTGCGCTTCTTCACGCCGCCGTGCCTTCCACTGAAGTCTGAGGCGTCTTTTGTCACAGTGTCTAGAACTCAGAGTGGGATTGGCAGGATTGTTTTATTCGATGCATGTCCTGAGACCTAAAGCGACGTCGGCGAGCTTCTCTGCTCCGTTTGTCAATTCTGGTTGCTCTGTTGGCCAATTCCGTTGTGTCTCCCCAAAATCTGTTTGTGGCTTTGACGCTCCGCATTCAGAGCATGCCATAGCGGCTGCCACTGAGGGTTTTAGCAGCACGGATTTTGAGGTTCTTTCACTCATCACCTGACTTCAGGGTCTCCCAGGGCCAGCGTCACCCACGTCCGGCTTGAAACTCCCCCCCAAAAACGACCACCGCACGTGACGCATCCCGAGCACGTCGATGACTTTTTTCGACGGAAAGACCATCCCAGGCCATCACCGGGGCCTTCAAGAACGAAGACGTGGTCTTTGACGAGTTGCAAGTGCACAAAGGAAGGGGCTCGGGCTCCGTCGACGGGGTCGTCGGGTCTGTTGGGGTCGAATGGGTGGAGTCGAAGGACCGAGTCGCAGTCGGTACACGATGCGTGACACTGGAAGAGATGGAAGAGATGGGTGGGTGATGGTGGGTGCAATCTGGAGGAACTCCGGTTTGTTTCCATTGGTGGTAGTAGTAGGTCCTTTTTGGGTCCTTTCTCAGAACCCCCCAGAAATCGGAGTCCCCTCCAGGAATCCAGGCCCGGCGCTTGATGGAGCTGTGGGACTTGATGGATCTGGAAGGCTTCGGCCGCTCGGACTGAGTCGAGCTCGGCTCGGCCGCTCTTCGCGCCACACGCGGCGCCGCGCGGATTCGGCGGATCTGAACGCGCGCCGTGCTCCGGTGGAAGTGGGGCCAACGAGTCCAAAGGACTGGGGGGGTTGTCAACGGCCGGTGTCCGGTGAGCAATGGGTGACCGTGACGTGTCAGGACACGTCCCCCACCACACGTCCCCAACCGTTCAACGGCTTCCCCGGTCTGCCAAGGCTCGTTGGATGCTTCGCGCTTCGCCGAAGCCTTCGAGGATGAGGCCATCCCCCTGGGCCTCGAGGCGCGCGGATCTCGGCCGTGCCGCGACGGTCTCGTTGCTCCGGATGGAGGCGGTCGTAGTTCTTTTTCTCAGACGGCCAGGAAATGACGTGAGACGTTTCGGTGCTTCCTTCAGTCAAGCTGGAAACGAAACGGTTGAGAGTTGATTGGGTCAACCACTGATATTTTGAAAGGGAGCTGTAACATGTGAGTTTTGGTGATTTCTTTTCCGTTATTTTTTTATATAACCGCTCCAACGCTACGATCTCTTGCACACGTGGCCTTATCACTCACATGGGGCCCTCTTGCAAAGTGGGTCTGGCCTTTTGGGGGCGTAGACAATTCTCGACATCTATGTGGTAGATTTCCAACCAGATCAAATCTGAAATGTGGCTGGGTGATATATGGTATATTATCCTTTACTCTGGACTTTTGCGTAGAGGAATCATCGGCGGTGGCTTCTGGTGCTTCGTAGTTTTGTATAGTTTTGTACTAGGCACATGAGTTTATCCTGACCTCATCACCACCACCTCAAGAGAGACGATCGATAAGTGTCAAACCAACCTAGGAGTGCGCCATTGATGCTCACAAACCTACTCGGGTCACGCGCAGCGGGTGGCAGGTGCTGGGCATCAAGGCAGAGATCGGAGGGGCGGTGGGGAGGCAACAGGGTACTTAGAAATAGCACTGCTTGGCCATTGGCAGAGAAGGATACTCAAATTCGGGACATAGACTGAGGAATCAGTGTGAATACAGCCTCCTCCTTCTTGGGCCCTGTGGTAGGAAACAAGATCGTCCACTCAGAGCCAATTTGGTCTTGATCTTCTCGACTCCTCTGACTCGCGAGTCAGAGATGGCAGGTGGGATCGCCCCTGGAGTTCTTCCAATACATTGCTGATCCAGAAACTCAAATGGCCTGATGCCCTCAGGAGCTTTGGAGAATGGATGGGAGCTTTGGGTGAGGAACTCTGTTGCAGTTGCTTGCAGCGTTGCATCTGCGGCTGTTAAGCGTTGGATTTCAGGCGCACGTGCCGTGAAACACATCGGAACGGCACGGAGCCGACGGGCTCGCGTCCGGTGCTGCGACCCGAAAAACGGACTGAGACCAACTGCAGCGGCGACCGAAGCATCCTGAGCAGATCATACAAACCTAGGTGGGTTCCACTGGACGCTACCAGGAGCAAAGGGCATCGCTACTAGGAGCAACGCCGCTACTAGGGGCTCCTGGCCTTACTACTAGGAGCAATGTTTGCTAGTAGAAACAAGAAATAAATAGAATTGGAATTGCAATTTACTTTAGATTTACCTTTCACCGTCCTCAGGTCTTCCCCGAGCGCTTCGTCGAGGTTGGCCTGTGCATCCAGGGGGAAGCGAAGGCCGGAGACTCCCGGGGGGGCGGCAGGAAGCGACTGGGGTGTTGTAGTGTAGACTATTGATGAACGGATCCCCCAAGATCGGAGATGTATACACTGTAAACCATTCATCACCATTCTGGAAGGAGTGTTTTACTCGTTTCACTCATCAACCGCCAAGGATTACGGGAAGCAGCTTGAAGGTGTTTGGTCCGTTTTTTGCATGGCCGGATTCTTTGGACTCCATGTGGTTCAGAGTACGAGATGGCCTGTCCATGGCAGCTTTTCACGGTCGCAAAAAACCATGTCTTGCCGCCCAGCGAATCCACTGAAGCCCAAGAACCAGGTCAAGAAACCTTCAAGAAACCTTCAAGAAACCTTGGTCGCAGGCGTTGGATGTGGCCCTCCTCCGGCAGGAGAGGGCGAGTTTGGGAACGGAACTCGGCTTTGCGGCAAGTCAAAGCCCGACCCACAGGTGGGTCTCCGGTGAAACATGGCCCTTCTAATATCCCTAATCCAGGGGTTTAGACCCACTCTTGGGGTATCATGAGCATCCCCTATCCAGAAGAGCTGGTCCTCCCATTTCTATGATGTGAATGGGCAGCTTGGTTGAGCCCGCAGCTGACCCAATAAAAGAAATCATCGCCCAGGAGTTCAACGGCCAGGCTGCAGGCCCGTCCCCGCAGCGCATGGAAAACTCATGATTCACACAAGTGGCATGCCGTTGTTGGGTTTGCTCCCATGATGGCCAGCCTCAAGTTCCTCATTCAGCCGAAGCAGCATTTCGCTTGGCAAAGGGGTCAACCCAGCGATCCTTCAAACAAGACATTGGCAGTCATTGCCCAACCCCGCGAGAAGAGCAAGCAACCCGGATCTCCTCAGTTCCGGTGCAGGCCGAAGCCTCACATCTTCAACCCCTCCGCGGCAGGCAAACCTGGGGGCTCTTAACGCGTAGGCTAGTGCATGCCATTCAACACGCAAAGCCGGGGGCAGCCCTACAGCTCCTTGGGGGCAGTCCTTATCTTCTGTGACCCCCAACCACTTTGATGGACCGTGGACTCTTTTAGATTGCCTAGGAGGGGACAGCTGGGTGGCAGACCAGCTGTCCAGCCCCAAGAGATCGGCAGGTTGGCTGAGATCGCACTGGCAGCACTGATCTGAAAGCCCTCGGAAGTCAGGGGATTTCTGTTTTGGGGTCTTAACACGTCCTTTCCAAACATCTGTTTATGCACAAGTCTAAGTCCCCACACTTGCGGATCGCCGCCTTGGCGTGTGGTCCAATGTTCTCCACTCGTGTCGGCTGTCACCACCAACCGAGGGGTTGGTGGATGTGCCAAGACAATGCTCGCGCATCCAAACGGAAGCGATGGGGGAGGAGTTCCTGGGCGGAGAGCTGAAACTCAGCGGAGAAGACACGGCATGGTGAGCGACCCAAAAAAGCCTTCCCGGAAGTTCGAGCCAACGGGCCACAGAAATCTCTGTTGGTTGTTTGGGGGAGTCGGCAACTGTTCAATTTGGTCCCCTCACAGGTTTTTCCCTACACTGAGCTTGTGGCCCACATGAATGGAATGACACAGCCGACGGAAAGTGGGTTTGGGGTTTCTTGATTCTAAGACACACCCACATATTCCAGATCTTTTGTAGAACCTAGACCTAGCAGTCTTTCTTTTCGGAGATCAGCAAAGCAGACAATCATAGCTCCTACGCTACAACCTCCTCCGATGCCCAACTTTGGCCGCCCGCCAATGTGGGGGCTGGGCCGCTGAAAGAGGCGAGTTATTAAGCGTTGGACCATGCCAAAGGCATTGCGCCATCGCAAGCATTCGCGGTCAGACCAAGCATTCGCCAGCGAAAAGTTCCTGCCATGTACACCGACGGAGTTGGGGACTTGAAACCTGCACTTCGCTGGGTTCGCCACGACTTCACACATTGATGGCTTGTACTGTTTGCTTTTTGGACTCATGGCAAGAGAGCAGATCAAAGAACTTGATGTCTCTGCTGTTGGGTCCGGGCCAACTCAGAACATTTCAACTTTCGGGTCTCGGACATGTCCTGCTTGAACTTTGCAGGAGAGCTATGTCCATCATGAGGTGCCCGGTGGCTGGGGGATGAGAAGCACTGAGGTTGACCAGTTGACCACGATGTTGCAACTCGTGCTAGGATGGACTTCATTCATCCGTATGCAACAGACAGCAAGTACAAGAGCTTGAGACAGTCAAGTTCACGAACCAACAACTGAGATGTATGGACGTTTGGTTGCATTTTGGTGCACGCCTTGATCGAAGAACCTCAAGCCCTGACCATTCAGAAGACAAGCAAAGCAGGTTGAAGATGGTCCAATTTGGACATGCTTTTGAATGCCAGACCATATGAAGTTGCTGGGTTGGATAGGGTGTGCCCTAAATGATGTTCCAGAGATCCCAACCGTGACACCCCAACCGAAAGCAGAAGTGGCTCACACTCACACTGGCTTGACGGTCTAGTATGCCAGTCAAGTGAGAGATCACCATATGATGCCAGTCAGACCACCGCGGTCAGAAGGGGTCCATCGATCAACCTGTCCTGTGTGCCAGGACAATCAAGCGAGGCACGAGCGACCCCGCAGGGCTGGTGAGTGAGGGAAGGTCCTTGAACTCCGAGTGCGCTCAAAACCCAAGGTCCACCCAGCGCAGGCGCAGGCTGCCGACCAATTCTGTAGTTCTCACCTACCTACTGCAGTGGAATTCACCGCTTGGACGTAACTTTGTTTTGAGTGGGTTTGGTCTTTATGAGGAAGTTGTTTCTCCAGGTGCACAACCTGTTATGAGTCCTTCCGATGTGTTGAAACTCGGAAACTTAGAGGCCTGGCGGCCTGAGTGCGAAAGGAGATTCATGGAGATTCTGAAGCGATGACCAATCAGACTTCGGTGGATGGGCATCATCCACCGAAGATTTGGGCATGGATATGTCAAACCTTTGTTTTGACATGTTCGGTTTGTTTCTTCCGTGTTTCCGGATGTTTCGGGCTCCGAAGTTCGGGCGTTTCCACTTTGTTTCAGGTTGGTTTCTGGGTCGTTTCTGGGGCGTTCTTTTCATGCTTTTTGGCCTGGCCTTTTTCAGTGTCTGGGTCTCGCTTCGTCGTCGTCTTCCCCTCCGCCAGGCCGGTGGACCCTTGGGGCTTGGAGCGTAGCGCTGGAGGTGGGATCCGGCGGAAGCGACACGGTGTTCGGTGCGTTTTTGGGAGAGGTCGGATTGGACCGGCCCGGGTTCTGAGGTGAGATCGGACATTGTGACCCTTTGGACATATCATTTATGTAGAGCTTCTGCGGGTTTCACCTGGCTTCACACATCTTGCCAGCCCGTAGACCAATCGTTTGGGCGATTTTTCTGAGCGCCTCAGATACTCCCGAGCTTCATCCTGATGTGAACTGTGCTGTGGAGAAGCAGCACTTTGGCCTGTATATTCATGAGCTTTGCTGAGCCAGTTGATGATCCGGTGCAAGGTGGTCGGAAAACGGCACAAGCAGCTGAAGGGTTGCACCAGAAACCAAACCTGGACATGTTGCTTTTTTCGGAACGGCTGTTTCTAGAGAAACAACTGACATGGCTAGGCTAGGCTTGGCATGGCATAGTGCAGCATCCTTGGTTGGTTGCAGTTTATACTTTCCAAGATTATTTCCTCTGTGTCGTGTACGAAGCAATTGCAAGCTTTGCTTCTCACGATGACGTTCTCTCTGAACCAAGGCGTCACGTGTGGCTGATCCGAGAGGCTGCCAAGCTGGGGCACCCGCCATCCGATGACTCCGGGCGGTGACGTTCGTTGGTGGAGGATGGCCCTGGAAGTTTGCTTGATTTCCATGGCGACTTTGTTCCACAGGTCTTTCGACATGTCTGTTTTGAATGCTTTTCAGGGGTTTGACTCTCCCGATGCTTCTTTGCAAGGTGGCACTTGGGTGGGTTTGCTGGTCAGAGGACTCCCGCACTCCAAATGCTCTTGGAGCTCTTACAGGGGGTTGCTCAGCTTCAAGCACATCACCACCATCGCCAACATGGTCATCATTGTCATCAACACACCATTTCCCTTCCCCCTGCATTTGTATCATGCTCGTCATTTGCGTTCTCATTCTTGCAATCTCTTGCAAATCTCTGGATGTTTGTGGCCTCTTGGTGTGTGAGAGACATTTTCTGGCTTCTTTTTTCGCCCAGGTTCTTCCAAACTTACGATGCCTTCTGCCGCGTATCCATGAGCGTCTCCGCGCTCAGCCCCGCTTTGGCCGCGAATGTTTTTTCGGTCTCGACCAGCAAAGGGGACTACGGTACTACGGCACGAAGAGCAGGCTTTAGGCAGATCACTTCCGGATGTTCCGTTGGATTTTTCCAATGTGCACCATGTTCCATTCTCCACGGTGGGATTTTTTTGATCACTGTTTTGTGCCAACAAAATGTTAGGAAGGGTGAGTGCTAAGTGCTACCTCTTCAGGCTACAGTTGGTATATCATGACCGTACATAAACCCTAAATCCCCCAAATTCTGTAGGACACATTGGTGGGAACTTGTCCACATTTGGGGATTTGGTCACCTTTCCACGGATGGCCACATCACTTGAGGCTGGCACCAGCTCTTTGGCCACCTTCTTTTGCTTCTACTGCTCCTGAGCAGAAGGGCGCGAGCGCAGGTCAGTCACACGGAGCTGTTCGATCGTTTCTCATGAAGGGGATTTAGTGACACCAGGATGGTCGCATTCTTTCAGGTTTAGAGCTTCTTGTGTTCAATCGCATCCGACGACCCTTGCTGCAGGTTCATTGTCACCCTCCAAGCGCTGGCCAACGAAACCAATCATCTCAGTCAAGGAACTCCAATCACGAAAAAGGACCTTCCAACCTTCCAGACAAGCCATGAAAAGACATCACTTCATGTTTCATGAAAGGGGGGTCACTTTCCTTCAACTTCCCCAACGCCCAATCACCCGTTGGGTCCGGCCCGCTGGCGCGTCTGCACCGCCGAGGCCTTGCCTACGTCTGCACCGAGTTGGCCGCACCGGTGGCCGCGTGGGCAGGTGAGGGAGAGCGGTGCGGGCACCACCTCGGTGAATCGATGCACCGTAATTCAGTTGGGAGAAGGGAACCGGTGATGTTATAAACAACGAGCAAGCTCCAGCTAACCTCCAGCAAACTTGCAAGAATACGGAGAGGGGTGTTCTGAAGAACACACTCTTTTCTGTACTACGGTTCCCTTTTTTTCTAGCCTTTCGTCGTTCTTTGGACATCCAAGCATGACCAGCTGCCCAAATCCCAAGCCCAGGCAAGCCCCTTCAATGCCAGTCCCAATCTGGTCATCCATTTGATGACAGTGGCGTTTCTCATTTGGGTGAAGCTGTGCTATGTAGAGGAATAGCCCTCCTATGCAATCTGGTCATCCTATGAAGTCCTCCTATGCAATGCAGCCCTCATAAATCCCTGCCAAAAAGGGACACTCGTGAGTGAGCATTGGAACCTGCATTTCTGCCCATTCTCTGCAGTTTTGTGTGTTGAAACCAGAAATCGCCATTTCTGAGCCAGGCATGTTCGTCTTTTGCGGCATCACCTTGCTCTTGTTGCGCACCGACCAGATCCTCTCAGCCCGAAATTACTTTGTGGGTCAGGGCCATAGACGAAGGAACAGAGTTTTGTGGGTGTGGCTGCGGGATTCTCGGATGATTGATCCTCGTGGTGGGGTCATAGACATTTCAGGCGTTGCATAGAACAGGACGCTAGGATACGCCAGGGTTCAGGCCAGACAGAGAGAGAGAGAGATCTAGAGAGAGATCTGAGGCTCCACGGGGCGCAACTTAGTGCTTGGGCCAGAGTACATGCTGTAGCAACAGACCAGTGCCATCCAGTGCCTAGTTACCTCATGGAGCCAGCATGAACCGACTCCTCATGGAGCCAGCATGAACCGACTGTTGATACAGCAACAGATGGCCATCACTTCAAAGTCGCTTCAAAATCGCGGAGGGCTTTTTTCTTTTCGTTTCACTGGAAGTACGTGGCACCCTTTTCAGAATTCTTCCACTGCACGGCAGGTGGGTATACCTATGTACATCGGCCAAGCAAACTCCATTTGCTATTTGGCCCTTGTAAGACATCAATCAGCAAGTTGATGGTAGGGCCTGTAGGAGATCCGAGAGTTTCTCCTTTCAGATCCTCCATTGGATGGGTTTGAGGCTCGATCTTCCTCTTCTTCTCCCCGGTCTTTTGTGCAGCAGGGGGGCTGAGTTTGTGACAACTGGGCGAGACTCTGAGGCGCTCCACCTGAACCGACTTGCATGGTGACTCACTGGCTGGAGATTATGGGGCCTTTCAAGCCACAAGAAGACGAAGCCAAGTCTTGGTAGTGCACTGAGACGAGAGTTGATCAATTGGTGGGTTTTGCCAGCCTAGGAAGTGATCATTGGATCTTGTGAGCCTTTTTCTGTGTCCGTCCCGCAGCAGCTTGCATTCACACAAGCTTGCACGATATGCTGGATTCTCATGGGTATTCAATACAAGTTCTGTGACCAGCAGCGATCACAAGAACAGAACGCACCAAACCCTTCTGATGGCATCAAGGCTCATCAAGGTACCCCAAATCTAGCTCTTCACCACACACACACACAGAGTAGGACGCAGCAGGGTTTTCATGAAGTGTCAGGCAGCATGCAGGGATAGGTGACATCAACTGTGTGGGTTTGTTTTTGAAGCTGGACACTTTTCCCGCCCCACAATGGGCTCGGCGGATGTGTCCATTGTCTTCGCTGATGAGGAGTCCGGACACCGTTCACCCTTCATGAGTGTTGACTCTGACCTGTTCAGTGAACCCTTCCCCTTCACCGTCCTCGCTGCGGCTATTCGCGCTGTCCTCGCCTTGGTCAAATCGGGCTTGGTCGCCCCCTGCCGTGGTTTCGCCCACCGAGCTGGCCAGGAGGGGGTCTCTCAGCCGCCTCCGACGCCCAAGTACCGACCGGGCGAGACGTGGGCCTCTGGCAGCAAGGCGCAGGACCCGTCCGGCGACACGAACGAGGCCAAGAAGAACACTATTTGAAAGATGGCACCCATCGCAGAGTGGAGAGAAAGGAACGTATGTTTTTTTCTCTTTGAAGAGCACCATTTCCGGGGTTCACGTGCTTTTTCACCAACCCGTGTCACAAGAAAGCTCACAAGAGGTGTTGTTTGATTGTTGCTTGCGGGGATCAATATTACGTGCCAGCGGGAGTTTTTGGTTTCTTTGGCACTGGCCTGGATCTATCCCCACACAGCCGGTCTTGTTGGAAGCACAGGACAAGTTGGAATCCTTGTTGGCCGAGTACCATGGCAGCTTGGCGAAATCGGTTAAGCCCCAGGGATCAAACAAACAGGACATCCTTGTTGGACGGCCAAGGCATGGTACTAGAAGGTGGGGCGTGGCCAGAATGGATTTGATCTTGATTCATTCAGTAAAATTTAGTAAAAGTGACCGTGGCCATGATACTGACACTTCTACCGTTGTTGAGGGTTTCTATCAAACGCAACCACCAACTACACACTGAATGAACAGACAACATGGGAATACGCACAGCAATTCTTTTTTCATCCTTGCATGGTCCAGATGTTCCTCAAATTGAAGGAACTGCAAGCTTCGGCAGACCAAGGAGAACTCATGCAGAAGCTGATGCTCCAAGAATTGATGCTGAAGCAGATGCACCTTGGGCGCATGGCATTTGTTTTGCTTTCAGAGTTCGAAGGCAACAGGAGCTTTCAGATCACCTGGCTTATATAACCAAGTATGTAACCACGCGTCAATGTCCACAAAAGACATGATCAATAGATTCAAAAGAATCGAAGTCTTGGCTCCCTCTCCCATAGCCGTGCGATGGGGCTCGGAGCCAGGCTCCCTGTGCTTCAGTACGGCCACCTCAGCTACGGCTACGAGATCGATCCGGAGCCACCCGGGCCTTCGAAAGACTCCAAAACCAAGGACGCTGGGGTAATGGCCACGGAGTGGAAGAATCTTGTGAAGTCAAACAGATTGATAGATGGAGGAGCATAGTGTGGCCATTTGATGGCAGAATCTAGCGTGGCCACAGTGAAGTCAAACATTGTGAAGATAAATGGAGAAGCATA